ATTCAACCCTGGGACATTCAATCATTTCTGCTTAACACAATGCAATTTAATCATTATGGAACCTTTCCATAATGATGATGGCATTGAAAAAATAATGTCAAATCTTTGGTTTGAAAGTTACTATATTCGTGACGTCACCATAACCGTATCCAATAGTATGAAAAACCAATCTTTTTAACCGGAAGTAATTATAAACAGTATGAATGAAAACCCCATTAAAACCGCATTTTGGAACATATGAGCCCAATAAATTAATACCCAATACAATACAGGGGATGGTTAATTGAAGGCGGTCTGTCACTAGGACTTGTAATCCGGCAAGAATGCGACGACACGACCCCACCACAGTCGCTAGACCCTTTAGAGTTTCATAGCTCGTTACGCGGGTCTTAGTGGGGAAGAGCTTGGGGCAGGCCAAGTTAAACTGGTGGTGGTAATACCGTCTAATACACATAGCTATTTCAATTACTAGTCCCGCGCATGCCAGCAGGCGGCGGCTAATCCGCTAACAAAAGACCTCTTATATTTGAAGTCATTTCTGTTTAATTGAAATTTTATTGCGAAACGAAATACGAGCGGCTTAGCCGCGGTTTAAAATATTGCATTCTTCAATGCGAAGCTAATTTTTAATAAGGCACTTTTAACCGGTTCAAACACAAAATTTATTTGTTGATTTTGTAATATTCTATTACAGTTTTGATTATGAATTAATCGTTTTATGATCCATGGCTATTGATCAAAATAAGGATGGATTATAAATAAATTAAGTCATATATTTTGCATTTCAAAACATTTTAGAATGTTTTATTTAATACATCACATTAATTAATATTACTCACGTCATCAACATATAGTTAAAAATCATTTTCAAATAAGTTTAACTAATATATTGCGTTTTAAACCGTTAAAGTGCTTTATTTAAATACTGCTCGCGTAAACTATAGACAGTATTTAAAATACTTTATTGTCATCACAATGTAACAAAATATAACTTAATTTAAAAATCAAAAATGTAGCGAGGAAAGGCGGCCTTATCGCTAAAAAGCGATTTGTTCGAAGCAATCTTGAAGATGGAGATTTACAATAATAAATGATAATAACAATAAGGGTAACACTACAGCTATAATAAGTTTATCATTGTCTTTCGGGCTGTTCGGCCGCCTCTTCTCACTCACATCGGCTGAACGATGGCCGTGAAAGCCCTACACAATTTATTATAATAAGTTTATACAATGCTAAGTATGTTTTTATAGTGTGACTTAAATATTACTTATAAATGTTTACTAGCACCAAACAACAGATATTACTAATACAGTTGAAAGTTGAACCATACACAGAGTTGATAAATTCATCTAAGAAGTATTAAAATAATACGTATTAAAAGAGATCCTACTTTTTTAAATATCTTACTTTAACTATTTCTTGTAATAACATGAATTTTCTCTCTTTGCTTAGCTGTCACTTTGATCCAAGAACTTTTAGAACTAGGGTACTTCGGGTAACAAGACAATTTTAATACTTTATTCGACTTAAAACTCATTAAATCCGCAATTTTCTTGTAAAATTGTTAACTTTGAAATCGAGCCGCTTGAACTTAATTTAACTATACTCGTTTTCCTTTTAATAACTCTTCGAAAAGCGCCTGAAACGTGTTGATTTTCAGTAAAGAAATGTAAAAGTAGATCTAAATACTTGCTAAGGACTTAATCAATACGAGATATGTTTCGAATGGAAAATAATAGGTACTCCACATGCTTTGAAAACTGTATGCTAATACAAGGATATAATTAACAAATGTAAAAGAATCCTTAGATCCAAAAAAAGTTTGTCTGTAAATTTGCATGCCCATCACAAACTTATTGCAAATAACAATGGCTTACGATAAGGCAAAAAGATATGGTATACCTAGTAGAAATATCTAATTACAAATACTTTCAATAATGTTCACTAATGTTAAAACAAACTACTGTCTGTAGATTACGAGAGTAGTAAACATTTAAATAAAACACTTTTAACGGTATGAAACGCGAAGTATAGTTTTGTTTCACAATTTACTTTGAAAACTACAAATATGTATTATAGTTAAATACAAGTTGAAATCTACATTTAAAAAAATTGTACTCATATCCAATATTGCTCTATCCTTCTATAAATTACAATGTATACTTACGATATCTGATCCGAAGTATGAAAAATGGAACGTAGTGCTTCACAAGCGTTCAGTGTTAGATATTCCCCACTGTAATTCGCATATACTGTAGAATCATTAGCGGGTTATCAGCGGGTCGTTAGCCAGCCATCTTGTCGAATTGTCATTCATATCACGTCCCAACGCGCCTAGGCTTGTCCCTTCCGCGTCACACCAAACTCATTTAAATAAGCTGTTACACGCAATCAGTTTAAAATTTTTTACACTCATTCCTACTAAAGGTATTCTGACAGTTTTTAGTGAATAAAAGCTCACATAAATGACGAACACAATAGAAAGTGCCGTCAATATCGATTTTAAATTCAGGTAGTTAAAGATTATGAAACAAATAAAGTAATCCTGAGAAGACTGTAAAATAAAACTTAGCGATAAAAGGAGTGGCGGCGAGATTCGTGCCAGTTCTTCTTGTTCGTTCTAAGGCCTTGATATGAGAACTGGTAGTAAATGTAAATTTAGAGTGTTTGGTTTTTAACTGATGTTAAGTTCATAAGTGTACCTTGTTACATATGTGAATTAATGTTTTTGACTTCGAGTAAGAATAAGAATAAAAACAACTTAATTGGAATTTAATACGAAATAAAAATTACAATAATTTTACGAGCTCGTTGAAGTAATGGTAGCAATGTATGGATGGGTTCTATCTCCAGCGGGCCCAATATTTTTCTAATCATTTTTTTTTAATACTTGACCTCATCAGATAATTTTGGATATTAAATGGGGGACAGAAATATCGAAATTCCGTCCGCATTCAACCACCATCCAAAGATGAAAAAGCCGTGAAGTTTAATTGCGTTTCAGTGTCAGTCTGTGGGTTTCTTAATAGGTCGATGGCGCATTTTGTTTAGATGTTATATGGCTTGTCTGTTCTCTATCATAAAGAATAAAGCTTTAAAATCTTCTACTTATAAAAAATCAAATGGTCGAAGTTGTATTATCTTAATAAACAATATTATATCATGTAAATAAAAAGTATGCAAAGCATCCGAAATGTCGGGCCGTAGTAACTAGATCCCATTAAAATGTTTTCATTAAATCTGTTATACTCGCGTAAACTACAGACAGTGTTTAATATTATTTCATTCTAATTCGCAACAGACGCTTCGTTGTTATACTTATTGAACACAATACATGGAGATGAGTGGTCTCAAAAAGTCAGTAAGCTCATTATCCCAAGTGCACATTGTGATGTTGTCTGCCGTCGCAATGTGACACCAGGCCATTGTCAGCCCACTGATGTCGTGTGAAGACGCCCTAACATGACGCCTACACAATAAAGAACTCAAGCTAAGCTGTTTAGTATTTTTAAGCAAAACGACACTCGAAAGACGCCAGAAATGACAAAAAGGACAATATTATCTCGTTCATTAGGACAAGAAAAAGTGCAGATAAATAATTGCGCTTAATAATTACTTATTTTTAGACAAAACTATATCCTTAAATAAGCATTCTTCAGTACTTACTAGTACTGTAGTATATTAAGGGTTTAAGAGCTTTAGACGAAAGCCTTTTCCAGTACTAGTACCTAGTTTAAACAGTAAAGATTTAAAATTAATAAACTAATATAGCATTATAATATATATAGGTATTAGGTTTTCAAAACTTTCTATTTCAAGAAAAAAATCTTGTTTTTTAAATTAAGAACAAATCTAAAACCACAGACAAAATATTTCAGACTTTGAGCTCTAAATGACTTGATTTCAGTATTAGTCAATTTAAACACCGAAGTATTAAATTTCCCCATTGTCCACAGACTATGCGCACGAGTGTTTTCTAATTGAGGAAGTGTTTAACTCTCTTTGTGCACAAATCGTGAAATTGCGCAAAAACGGCCGTCTTAGCTTTCCATTGTCTAGTTAAACGATCTAAATTCTATTCTTTGTGCGTTTGTTTTTTATCTGTGCTGAAATTGGATACCCACGCCATGTGCTAACAGCATCATTATAATAGAACCATTTTGCTAACATACTTAAATGAATGATTTTATTCACTTCAATCTTAACGGATAACGAGACAAGATTTAATGTTTGTTTATAAGAACAATCATTTATTTATTTATAAATTATTTTAAACTTTACTTAGTTTTATATACTTAGGTTTAATTCTTAGGATTCTTAAGTCAAGGAACCACAAATGTATGGTAAATAAAATATTTACGATTTTTGAGTTAACAATCTATTACCAGAAACTTTTTTTACCGTTTGATTTCATTGAGTAATAGTAGTGAAGATTAAAAGTTATTCTTACTCATTTAGAATAATTGAATTACTAAGTAATAATTTAACTACTTATCGCAGGTTTCACCAAACTCAAAACAATATTTAAAATATAATACTATAAATATAAATAAGGTTTTTCAAATTTAACTATCCTTACTTGCCAAGTAGTCCAAGCTCAGTACAAAGAAATCACGTCGTAAAATATTGCACAATCTGATCGCTTCAATGGTCCATTTGTTAAACATATTGCTTTAAGCGGACGAGGTCCTGGGTTCGGATCTCGAATAAACAAGTTTCAGTCGAGTAGGGCACAGAATTACTTTTAACCACCTGCCTGTGCATAAGACAAGTTAATTAAAGGATATAGCCATATATCTCTACCCCTTGCCGCACATAAGAGAAATTGAGATTAGACAAACACTTTTTTTTAATAGAAAAAGCTTCATTAGATAGTGAAAGTGTGTCAGAGAAAAACGAAATAAAGCAATTTGTCGGCATCCCCCGAGGTGGCGGCAAATTGAGATTCCTGTAGGAAGAGTTAATTGTTTGTCAGTGAATTAATGCAATTCTTGCAGGTTTCCCGCAAATCAAGTCGCCCTACAGCCCCTCCGCGCAGCAGCACCTTACAGGTCAGTACATTTTATTATTTCGTTAATGTTCTCGTTCATTTTGTGCTCTTTATTTTAGTACTTATCTTTTAGGAGTTCCATGTTGGACAAATTACGATTTAATTAAATAGAATTTAGATTGTTGTTAACAATCAGTTACATATAAATATAAATAAGCAATCTTCACTAACACTTAATTGCTATAATTACCGTAACTGAGTTATATAAACTCAAAATTAAATTTGTATCACTACTATTTTATACAATATATTATATAGGTATTTCCTCGTTTTATTATCGCACAGAAACCATTTAAACGTTTTTATATGTATAATTATTTAATTAAAATATATTCTCATACCCAATATTAATAATAATATTAATATTTTAAAGGATTTTTCCTCCTTTTCATTATTAAGATCTTAACGACAAGGTCAGTCTATCGTATTAGGTAAAATCTATCCTATAAGAAGCTTTATATCTAGGAACTAATATTGAACAATACACACCACTGATTTAGGAAAGTGGCTGCGGGTGCTCTGACGGGGGGCGAAGGGGGCCCACGTCCCCCGTGTATGCCCCCGTCCCAAACCCCTCGCCTTTGTCTCAGTAATGAATCCGCCAAACACCAAACGTCACCGCGCAGGCTCCGGGCCAATACCACAAATCATAAACCTATCCATTTTTGAAATAGGACCTTGAAGAGCAAAATATAGGGACGGCTTTGCTCTACACCGGACGTGTTTATTACAATATTTCTAGAGGGTGAAGAATTTGCTTAGGTAGGACGCGAGGAAAATATCCTGCAGGATGCAAATTAGAGGAAATAGTTCCGGTGCTCGAATTACGTCACAAGGTTCCGATGCGCGGTGTCGTTTTTATTTAAATTGTATTGAAGACAGATTTAATTTGTTAAAGATATTCAGAGGTTATTAACATTTCCTTCTTTAGTTTAATTTTTTGTACTTATAACTCCCAGCAACAAAATAAAACAAACTTTTGTTGTTATAAAGGCGATACTAAACTCTTAATTCTACAAACCTTGGCTAAATTTATAACAAAGGCATCTAATCTCTGATACCTCATTGGATGTATATTTGTATGAAAATGTTAAGGAATGCATGTGGCCATTTCATGTGTGTTTTGCAACCCCAGTGTGGTTAATGAAAAGCAACCTGGCGAGGGCTCGGCAGCCATTTGTAAAAAATTGCCGCCATTTCTACGCGGGAATTTCATATTTGGAACGCCGCGGGGTGGAATTCAGAATTGACATTTCCAACAACATGGCCGCGCTTTTTTATTGTTCCTAAAACAATGAAACTCGATGCTCGTTTCGGTCGCTATTGTTTAGAAAGACGCCATTTTCAATTTCGAAATTAGGGTCTCATAGGAATTTATTAAATCTTTTTACATAACCGCTATATAATGTGCCAAATAAAAACATATTTTTTTTCGACTAAAAACAAAACACGTTGACACAGAAAGTTGTACAATTTAGGTATATTATAATGACGTGGTAGATTAACAATGATATACCTAATGGGCACTTTACGTAAACCACCAAAGAGTAAAAATATCCTATAATCAAAATCTTATATGTATTGGATGTAGGTCCATACTCAAAATAGAAGGTAGTTCTAATTCATAACTGATGTTTGTTCATTAGCCACGTGTTTGTGTAGTTAATGCTTACAATATATATTAAAGGCAAAATAGAACATATTATAAATCTTATTCACATAATATTCTTGTAAAGCACAATGCAATTAGAAATAAATTTTCCTTGTCTAATAAAATAAGTGTTTTTCAGTGAGTTTTCCCATGTATACACAAAGAGTAAGTTTTGTAAGACTATATTATATTTAAATGAAAACTTTAGATATAAATACCTAAATTACAATTGCACATTTCTTAAACATACTTTTTCAATTTAATGTACGCGCTTAATAACACGTAAATAATTACATACTGTCAAATAAAAGAGGTTGATAAGCTATGATACTTGTTTGGTCATTGGAATACAACAATGGTATAATTTTTGTTGTGCCTTTAAAATTCGTTACACGGTAAATTTATATGATCACCTAAAAATTAGGCATTTATAAAACCTAAGTATCTTAATTGCTTAAAACTGTTACCATATATATATAGCTATTATGACTTCATCTACAGATTAAATAACTGGGGAGAATTCATAAAGCCATGTTAAAAAAAGGACAATAAAATCCAATATTTAAGGAAACACAACTAACAATAACAAAAACACCAATCGCTGTCAACGTGTATCTTTTCAAATGTGGCGAAATTAAAAGAAAAAACAGTTCCGTTGGAAGTGTCAACATGACGGCTTCCACACTAGCAGTTAATTCAGACATTATTAACCGTCACAACGTTATCTATTACTGCTACATTTGTGAACAATGTTATTGCGTTTTGCTATTAAAACTTAACTCTAATGGCTAGTAATACGGTTTAGATTCGAACGTAACGACACCGCGGTGTTATGTTTCAGAAGCACCGATGTTGTCTCTGCTAAGTGGTGCTGTAACAATAACAAGTATAGGGACGTATCGGATTTTGTTCGGCGTCCTTTCATTTTACGACTCTTAATTTTTGACTCTGCTTTATAAGGGGTGCTTGTTAATTGATGATTTTACTTGTTTGGATATCGATAAGTTAGCTAGGACAAACAGAAGTTTTTTGTATGACAAAGAGCTTTATTGCACATACAAGTTCAATTTTACTACGGGCTATTGTGATTTTAAGCTTATTTATATTGTAAAAAAATAAATTGTGTCGTAGTTAAAAAGATGTATCTACGTACATTTTGGATACGATAATCTCAGTTTCGTTGAACTAGACTTTGTTTGAAACTATTGAAAGCTAACTCATGTTAACTACAAATCGGTTTTAAGTAAGGTCAAATATTTTTATTTATATTAAAGAATGATAATTACATTTTTTTATCCAAATCGTCAGTCAAAGTAAGGTCTACGCCTCTACGCTTTTGTTCTACGCTCCTTCAATTCGTAGCACTTTCCTTCGCGGATCGTAGGAACTTTTATTTGACAACACCGTTTCAATCACACATTTTACTATTTGCTCAGTAGTAAAAAGCTTAAATCTAGCAATTTTTCTACTTGAATGACTTAATAGTCTAATATTTGTCGAAACAGCGCGATCGGAATTTTCGTAGAACTCCACGCGGGCATAGAGTTTAAATCTAAGCGTTTCTAAAAAGAATTAATAAGCAAATTTGTGTGCAAACAATCTCCCCTAACTTTACAAGTGATATACTAAGCAAACCGAGAAACAAGTGTCTTGCAAATATACTAAATTGCCAACTAGATGTGTACAATTTCTTTGACATCTGCCGATTCGCACGCTTGTAGAATCGTTTATTAATTCATTTATAGTAGTAGCCTTAACGTAAAAATAAAAATAAAAATTGCAGAAATAAGTACACAACAATATGTACTATGTCCTTTCTAGTAAAAAAATACTTTGAATGTGAAATATACGTCAGAAAAGGACTTTAATTGACTAGTATGACCCGTCACATAATTTTATTGCTATGTGATATTGCAGAAAGAATTTAAATGGATTGAATAGTTTGACTTTTATTTATTTACTTAACGTATTATTACATACAAAATATTGTTTTAAGCTAATAGTCTTATTTGCTTTTAATTACAATAATATGTTTAAATGAAGAGAGATATCCCGTTTTATGATATGATTTGCCAGTCGTACATTTCATTGCATTTATTTTTATAATCACACACTTCTAACAGTGGAAATTCGGTCTGTGAGTTTTCAATAACTGTTTTGAGTATAACAACACCTTTAATTATCTAACTACTATTGTTAAATATTACAAAGTACAAAACAATATTGAAATACCTCCACAATAGGTACAAGTCAAGTACACGCATTGTTATAAATTGTATAATCCTTTGCGGCCATTTTGCAAAGTTTCCAAACTGTTCAGCCATCTTGATTGAGCTACAGTAGTACCTACTTAGTAAATTTGAAACAACAGTTACCTAAGTATACACAAAACAATGAACATACAAACTCAGCAAGTTGGAAAAAAAGAAAAATGAAGACAATACTCGAAGAAATTAATTCAGTGACGCCAACAATAATATTTTACGATTAGAACCATGCCCCCTCCAGTTTTCGCCCACCCTTGATCGAATAATGAATTAAGTGCCAACCGAGCTTCTTGTTACGTGATTATTGACTTTATTTCGTCGGGGGAAGGCTGCTGGGACCGCACGAGGGGTTGTGAAGGCTTTTGGAAATATTAAAAGGCCATTAGCAATTATAATGGAGGCGAGAGTGCCTCATTACAGTGTCAGGATGCGAACCGGCTGCCGGCAGTGTGCTGTGTGACACCTCGCTCGCTAAATCGATTAAGTTATTCTAAAGGCTGTCGCAGACAAGGTCATTTGTGCAAGATACAATGCAATTTGGTAATAATAATAACACTAATGTCCTATTGCAATGCTTTTCCGTTTAATACTTTAGGTTGCTTGCGTGCTGTCATATTTTTACTATTTTTTTTTTAAGAAAACTATTTCTTACTAAAATAACTTAAGCATAAAAATATTCACTAAAATTGTTGAAAGCAAATCTGATATGTTGAAAAGTGATTTCATACTGTCTGTAGTTTACGCGAGTAGTACACATTTAAATATAACACTTTAAAGGTTTTAACGAAATATTTTACTTAAACTTGTTTGACAATTATTTTTAAATACGGCCCGACGTTTCAGATGCGTTCAGAAACAAACAAGCTGCTGCGCTTTTTTACGCAACGTATACTTGTGATTTTCACGTGTAGCTCAAATTATAATAAAATACACAGATTACAAAATATATCTTTTTAATACTGGAATTTAGAAGTAAGTTCACTGGGCATTTAAAACGTCAAACCGTAGTTAAACAATTCAACGACACGTGAACTATTACGACAACCAACTATTTTAATCTTCTGAAACAGACGTCACATAATC